TACCCTTAGTAAGATTTACAAATCATCAACCGTGTTTATGAAGATATATATACATAAATACCATAAGACCACATGAGCTAATTCCCTCTCCCAATAAACTCACACTTAGTTGTCATGTTCCATGCAGTCAGCGTTAGATTTGATCTTGTGTTTCTTCCAAGTTCTACTTTGTTGGTCTGAAAGGAGCGAGGAGGACACATTTGGAGTTCCAAGATGTCTGGTATCCCATACTGGCACAAAACTACCCACCCACATAATCTTTGCCTGCTTTTGGGGGTTGTTCAACATAGACAAAGAAAAAATTATCTGTCTTAATGAGGCTCCTGCCTCCTAAAGGAATTTGGGTGTCATGTTTCTTACAGGGATTTACTTAGAATGGGGTATAGAAATGTACCTGCATTCCTGTCTTCTCTTGTCGGTGGCCAGAGTTAACTCTGAGAGCCTGTCAGAAGGGCTTTTGGAAGAACAGCAGATACAGTAATGTGTTTGCCAAACTGGCAAGGTGATTTAGAACTATTAATTTTGCTCCACTACCCTTTGGTTGACTGTAATCTTATACCTAGAAGTGCCTCTGGGCACGTGGGACTGGCAGCTATTCAGAGAAGGAAGCTGGATGCTGCTCAACATTGTCCACCAGACTCCAGACACAGAGCCTGCTGTGGCCAGGCTGTGCTAGTGGGGTTTATGCTCAAAAAGCAGGCCTAATCCACTTTTTTTTTTAATTTAATTTTATTTTTAATTTTTATTTATTTATGATAGGCACACAGTGAGAGAGAGAGAGGCAGAGACACAGGCAGAGGGAGAAGCAGGCTCCATGCACCGGGAGCCCGACGTGGGATTCGATCCCGGGTCTCCAGGATCGTGCCCTGGGCCAAAGGCAGGCGCCAAACCACTGCGCCACCCAGGGATTCCCCCTAATCCACTTTCTGAAGTGAAATTGATAGTTTATGATCTTGGCCAAAGGCTGATTTAAGCCATGCTAATAACACCGTGTGAATGGTATTTGGCGAATCTACATAGCGTAGATTTGTAAGGCTGATTTTGATTATATTATCAAATGAATGCTGCCTTTCAGACATTGGGGTAAGCTTTTATAGCAAGGTTATCATCGCTCAGGACGTTTCTGGAAATCTTTTGGATTCCCTTCAGATTCAGTTAAAATTCACACATACTTCATAGGTTTATTTCATTTTTTATTTTCTATCTTACTTTTCTACATTAATCTGATCTAGTTCTCAATGCCTGGTAAAAGTCATATTAGCTAATCTTTGTAATTACTGAAGATTGTCACAAAATTTTGTTCTCAATATAGCAACATCTGAGGGCCTGTGTTCTAGGACAGGCCAGGTCCCTGGTCTCCTAAAAAGCTCAGATTTTAGAAAATTTCAGAAACAGTGGCTGGGAGGTGGAGGGCAGAGTAGGAAAAGCCCTTTTAATGTGGCATTTCAGTGGACAATGAGATGAGAAGAAAAGGTCTACACAGAGCTCTGAAGGAAGAGGGTTCCAGGTAGAAGGAACAACAAAGGCTCTTAAGGCAGGAAGCATAAACTGTGGTGCCTATCCATTTGAGATCAAGTGACTATATAAGAAATTCAAATATCAATTAAAAAAAATCAAACCATACATACTGTATGGGAAAGTTACATTCTGAACTTTCTAATCTCCTAAAGTTAAGGGATCTAGCAGAAGGTAGAATTCAGAAAGTGGGGGGATTCAGTCAGAACTCCAGGCAAATTGGAAAAATTAGGCAGAGGGAGAAACAGATCTTGCTATATCTTAAATCTCTAACCCTTAACATTTTTTCCCCATAATCATCCAGAAGTGCATTACTATTCAACTATGTGGATTTTCTGTAATATTTTTAAGTGATTATGTTTAATGTGTCATTTCAGCTCCGTGCCCTCTCTGATAATGGAGTATCTGATCTTGAAAACCCAGACTTGGCTCCTCTGAAAGATATGGAAAGGTTTATGATCGTGCAGCGTTTGTTTGCCTCAGCCGACATGAACTTGGAAAGACTGCAGTCATCTGTAAAAGTTGTCACCCAGAAGGACCCTAACATTCTCCCACTAATTCTTTATATAAGCCTGAATGGACTCTGTGCTTTAGGCAGAGCACATTAATAACATGTGAATTACAAATACATGTTGTCATCCAAGGCTGGGTATTTCTCAGCATTGTTAAGTAACTACTGAGTTTAGCCACCAGGTACTCAGTAAACATTTTTTCATTAGACACTGGGTCACTAGAACAGGGCTCTAAGTTAGATTCCAGCACCTGAAGAGCTGGAGGAGGGTTGTGAATTTTAAGCTAGTAAATGGTCAGACTTTTTTTCTGCAGAAAAATGGGTCCACTTACCCATTATACAAAAACAAAGGAGTCTGACACTTTGATTCAAAAATTCATTTTAAATTGTGAATGCTATAGGAAGACAATTTCTCTTTATAGAAGAGTCTGTTTTAGATGTGCTGATTGACAAATGAACTGTAAATGCTACTATAGTACATATATTCTGCTAAACAAAATTATACTAAAATAGTAGCAGGACACCTCTCCTTAGGGGTCTAGCTACATACTTTTGTCATGCTTTAATGAACATAGCAATTCTATGTTTAGAATAATGCTGATTTCCCACGTACTCTGGATTTTTAATTTATAAAATAGATACTGTATCAAAGGAAACTGTGAACTGTGTATATTTATTTTGCATTTGTTTTGAAATTCTTCCACAAATAACTTGTACTGTCTCTCTAAATGCCCGATTCCATTGCTACTATCCACTGGGAATCTGAAACCACTTTACCTTAGCAAAAAGTAGTTAAGACTTCTTCCTAGAATTTGGTCTAACTTTAAGAGCACGGAGGATGAGAAATAGGTATTGAAAGGGAAACCTGGTTTTCAGCACTTTATTACCTCAACATCATCTATTCCTTTTCTGCTCTTCAGATTTTAATAAACGTTAACACAGAAGAAATGAAGCAAAATAACCCTTTCATCACCTCAGTTAAAAATGAGACTAAATCTTATACAAATACTCATAATACATGAGAAGAAAAAAGGAAAGTTGTACACTGTGTGGCAACAACATAAAACGTACCTTATAACAAACTGGAAAGCAATCTGCAAACAGGAAAATAGTTGTACTACAACTCTGGCACTATATATGCCTTTTTGTCTTTCTGAAATAAGTTTTATAAACAACAAATTGATGACAGATTTCCTAAGAGGAATCTACTTGTGTAAAAAATAGATACATATGTATCACAATGCAGTGGGAGGCTCCTTTGGGGAGAGGATTTAGAAGTTGGGACAAGAGGTTGTGTGATGGGTTGCCCTTCTATTTCCATTATAATTTTGTATATATTAGCCTCTAAATTGAAAACAAGTCAAACCAAAAAAACCCAAAAGCAAGAAAAACTAAAGACTGGCTTTAGGCAGAAAGACAAGATGCTATCCCAGCACATGCCAAAAGTTTAGGTTTTATCAAACAGGCAACTAAGGCATTTGTCTTTTTCCACAATTATCAGGCAGCTGCCCAGTTGGACGGTGTTTTAAAAATTTGCAATTTTAAAGGATGTAGCCTTACACTGCTACAGGTGTTCCCAGCCCCCCAGGTACTGCCACTCCTTAGCAGACCCCACTGTCATGTGGTGGGAAAAGTAGTGCTGGGCATGCTTGATTGGGGCTTCCAAAAGGCTCTTCTAAGTAACTGGTATCCTCATCACTATATACGATTATTACCTGTAAATTTACATTTGTAAACAGATACCTAGAAAACAGTAATATTTCCCAGAACAACAGAAAATAAAAACCACCTTCACTCAGATGTTTCCATGACCATTTCTCTTTCACAAGTGGATGCAGGAAGAAACAATTAACTAGTGTAGTGTGGGCCTATAATGGTCCCTCAGGTGTTTGTGATGTAATAATCCCTGGAACCTGTGAACATGTTACCCTATGCCAAACAGAGACTTCATAGGTGTTTTTTACCTTGAGATCTAGATTATCCTGGATTATCTGGGTGGGCCCTTAGAAGGCAGAAGAGCAGTGAGAAACTCGGCCAAAGAAAATGCAGGAAAGAGGAGGCATAGAGAGGATTCAGTGCTGCTGCTGGCTCTGAGACAGAGGAAGGTCAGTTCAAGAACAAGAGTGCAGTCCACATGATAGCCTGTAAGGAAGTGGAGACCTCAGTTCTACAACAGCGTGGAACTGAATGAAATCTGCCAACAACCTGCAGGAGCCTGGAAGCAGATTCTCTCTCCTGTGGTAAGAGTGAGGGCAGGTCCTGGGAAATGGCTCAATTTTAGTTTGCTGAGATCTGTGTTGGATTTCCAACTTAAAGAGTTTGTGTTTTAACCTGGTAATTTTTGTGGTAATTTTTTTTTTTTTTACTGCAGTGAGAGAAAATGGACAGTGTAAGATTAAAGAATGAACGATCTAAAACCTAATTCTTTGGGAGACATGAGAAGTACACTGGACTAGTGATTTCTGAAGGATGAGGTAAGGAATCCCAGAAACTAGCCTGAGAAAGAGTTGCAAAGTACCTTTTCTGGAAACCAGCTTCCCAAACTCACCCACAGTACAGTCGCCTTCACCTGTTGGCCAGCCTGATGGTTCCACCTCCCTTTTCCACTGCAGGCCTCAGGACCGAGCTGTGCCAGGAGTTGTCTTTCCCACCGGGGCTTCTCTTGCCTGGCTAGCTGGTCCTAGTATCTCATGCCATCTAAGCATAGAAGCCTTTTCTTGTTCCTATATTTTAATCTTCCCTGTTTCTGACATTTTTTTCCTTGAGTACATCACCTTTGAAAGCCACCAAATGGCTTGGGCTGGGATAGAGGAAACAATAATTAGGGGGTTTCCTTGTTAAAGAAGAGAAGCAGGTGAAAAATTTATATATTTATTTTGGTGGAAAAACTAAATGTTATTACAGGCTTCTTACAAAGATTATTAGCATTTAAAAGCTAATCAGATATCCCCCATATTTTATTATTTCTAAACCTTAATTCTATCTATAAATGAAACACTACATTTTTGCAATTATTAAATATTTATTTTTATATATACAAAAATATTTTACTTGGAATATACAATCTCACATGTTGAACATTTCAATAGTTTTTGTTTAGGACAGCATATGGAAATAAGTGAAAAGAAATTTATAGGGACAGTTTCTGAAAAATCAATACTTAATTGTAATGTAAGGAAAATTTTATTTTTACAAGGACAGCAGTGATGTTTCTTTTATACAGGAACTAGTAGTACAATTATTTGGAAAGCAGTAGCAATTAAATTTTATTTTTAAACTTTTTCATCAGAAACATAACTTTAACAGCTTGTTCAGCTTTTAATTTTAGATTGCTGACAAGCATTTTGCCCTCCATTAAAAAAAAAAAGTTCTACAATTATTTCAAAGACTAGAGGTTAAAAAGAACATGCATTTGTGTTCAAAAATTAAAGATATACCAAACTGAAATGGAAAAAAAAAATCCCCAAAGCAGGGTTTTCACATCAAATACTCACCAGGCTCTAACTCAACATGCAGAAAACTACACTTGCTGCTGAACCCTAGTGTTCATTCTTCTCCAGCAAAACCCTAGATCCCACTTCCTTAATAATCAATGTTACCAAAGAAACAGGAGTTGGCAGTTCTTTTTAAAAGTGTACACATGGCCAAAGGAATATTTATCTTGTATTTAAATTACAGTTGGAGATGAGCTATTCCTCAAACCTGGTTCCACCTCAAACTATGAAGGCATTCCTCATTTGGACCATGTTTACCAGAACGAGCTTTAGGTCTTCAAAGCAATGTTTCTAAACTACTGCCTGCCTCTCATATTTAAGATGAAAACCACATATTTTAACTGGTGAAGACTTCTGCTTTGACAGTGATCATTTATAGCTGAGGAGTTTTGAATGCTCTGTTTTTTTTCCACTTCCTCTAAGCTTCTGGCCACCTCGCTGATATGAGGGAGGAAAGCCAAATTTCAGGTATGGCCTGTTGTATTTGTAAGTTTCTACCTCCAGCTTGCTGTTGCTGAAGTGCAACAAAGACATCTAGTTCCAACTTTTAAAATAAGACCTTGTGGCTTCTGCTTTGTGGAAGCAACAATACCTATTCAGTGGGACTCAAGACAGGTTTATAAGCATTGAATCATTCACCCTCCCAAGTACGTAGCAGCATTTATATTCACTCTAGAGGTGTTCATTCAGTTTGTGCTGGGAATTAGAAAACAGTAAAAACTAGTATAGGAAAAAAGAAAAAGGGAAGAACTGTCACTTCTGGCTGATTCTAGTGTGTGGAGGCAAGTCAGATTTATCACAGCGCTGCGTTATCGGCCAACGGCGGTGAAGCAATTAGAAAGAGAATGCAACTAAGATTGTCTTCATGTTGGATTCAAGATCCACTAACTGGAGCTAACATTTCTCCCTATAAAGAAACACACTTTTAAAACTTAATACCATCGGTTAAACACTAGGGCTGTGGTGATAAATTTCAGGCATAAGAACTAAGGTAGGGAGAGTTAAGGGGCAAAGATCAGAATGTCGTGGGTGTCAGAGTACTGGGTTGCTCACATTTCATTTGATGTAAGAATTTGTTAAAGGTTTGGCTTTAAGAGTGGATTCTCAATGAACATGGACCTCTGACTAAGGTCACAAGAGAGAACAGACCCTCCTCAGAGCTTTTTAGAAACTGGAGGTAGAATTATTGAAAGGTGTGTACCATTTATTATGCTACCTCTGAAAGAGAAACACTTTAAAAGAACTAAAAGATAAGCAACCTCAATATAAGCAAATATGTATAATAAACACATAAAAGTAGCCTAAGAAGGATTTTTCAGTCTAGCATTTATCACATCAGAGTCACAAATTACTTCTTGTAATTTAAGGTGAAGACAAATATATAAGCTAGCCTTACTCAACTGGTGGAATATTAAAAGGAAAATATAAATTCTATCAAAGGTCGCATGGTCAGAATCAGAATCTCAATTAGTAGAAGTAGTACACCATCTCTATTTTTAACAAAACAGATTATTTTTAAAGAAAGTAGTGCAGTGTACTGCAAAAGTGGTACAAACCATGCTTTAAAGTTCTTACCTTAGAAATGAGATATCATTGTTTCACTTTTTAGTGTATTAAAGATTCATTTTTGATTCTGTGCACTAAACCATTCCAGGAATACAAAAAGTAACATAATGAATTATGGGAAATACTAAAAAATGAATAAAACTTGAAGCTAACAAAAATGTAATTAAAAAACAATCTTACCTTTTAAGAATTATAGAATTATCTTCTTCAAATACAGAGTATACTAAAAAAATGATGCTGAATTTATTAGTTAACTATATTCTTAAAAGTTTGTGAATATTCACTTGTACTATATACAATAATCCTATTATTTAAGATACTAAATTTTGCTCAAGAACTTAAAATACATTACAGATGTTATTACATGAATTCTCACAGCAAATCCATTGGAACAAGAGGAGGGCAGTTACCATAATCTCTAAGCCTGAACCATATCACAAATTCATTTGAAAGTTTAAAATAAGTTATTTCCCAAGATGCTGCCATCTAGAACTCTGTCCTTTTTGCTTAGGGAAATTAAGTTATAATAATTTTCTGAGCTTAATTTCATCATATTTTTCAGAAAGGAGATTAGTATCTGCCTCAAAGTAAAACTAAAGCCTTATAAAACAATGTGAAAACTTTCAGAATGTCTAAGAATTTGGGAGTAAACATTTAAGAACACTAGCTATAGTTACATGGGTGAACATATTTAGTTTTATTATTCATGTATTTTGGAAGAATGTTACATATTATACATATGGCTACATATATATTATATATATGGTGACTCAGACATTTAAAAAATGACCTATATATGTACATAAAAGTTCAGGATTTCTTTTTCCATATTTAGTAAAAAGATTCATTACTACAAAATTACTGGCTCCCTAGCCTGTGATTTCTGGAAAATGGAGTGTTGTTTCAGAAGTCATAAAAGTACTATGTTAAGTAATCAATCACTATTTTGACCAATTTTCAAAACTTTTATGTTCAAATATTTACCAGTTCAAATTAATTGTACCTAACTCCATGGCTATCCATCTTAAAAATCAACTCCAACCACCGGATAGGACACTTGTTGTTTTACGTAACAGTAAGTACATAGTTAATGAACTTTTAAAGCAAAGATCATCTTTTATTGCCATTGGGATAGTACGGTCAAAGCAGTTAGTATGTGGTCATAATCTATAATGCTATGCTATTGTATTTTATTGCTAATTTGCATTATATCCTAAATTTGTGTTAATAACCAATTTACTCTTTTAAAGAAAACTTGTCCTGATAAGCTACTAAAAGTAAATTTACTAGATTCTAGAATCTAGGGTTCAGGCTACTATTGCTGTAATCATACTGGGTTTATGGTAGAATTTCTATTTTAGAAAGCTATATTCAGCAACTGTATAGTTAAGAATTGGCAAAAGTAAAAGTCCTGATGTATTAGATATTTGATAATATACAAATACCAAACAGAAATTAAGACCGCATAATCAACACATGGCTGGAATAAAAGTGAAACTCTACTTGTAATGTATCACATATATTCCACTAGTTATAGTGTAACATGACTTATCCAGGAACATCACCTCTACTGGTATTTGTACATTTGAAAATCAAAAATATATATGTATATACTATAGACATGCCCTGAATGCTGATGTGGACACTCTCTGTCCACAAAGAATCCTCAGGTGCATTAATGTATTGGCACATGTTTTCCAAAGGCATATGCACGTGCATGTGTATCTTAACTATTACCAATTGTTCAGCATCATTTTAAACTGTTTTCTCTTCAGGAAAGCTAATTATTTTAGATATTTCCCATATGAGAAGTTCACACTTCACTGATTACAATACTCTCATTGCCTTGGGAGAACCCTGGGGCCTCTGGAATGCCTTGACCCAACAGAGCTCTACCAGGTCCAGCAGACTCAGATGGGACTTCACTTTCAAGTTCAATGACTCTACTGAGATACAGTGAACTTTTCTGAATTTATTCTCTTCAGTTCTGGCATCTAGACTGAAATAAACTAAACAGCATTATTTCTTTTTTATATCATGGAGGATCTAGTATATATTAAGTAGTCATGAAAACCATTTATAATAGAAATCCTTTAAGTGTAGACTATTTTCTACATAATATGCATCTTACACCATATGAGAAGGCTAAAAATATTAATGATGTAAAAATCATCTCCATTATGTCACGACAGTTGAGATATTTTGTGGTTATTAAACTTCTTGTGCTGCTACAATGATCCCAAAGCTGTTCAAAGAGGCTCCGTGCAGCAGCATGAAGGCACACCGCAGAAGACCGCACATTTCCTGAGAACATGGAAATGAAATTTCTCTTAAAATTTACAGTGTTGAAACACTAAGTCATGACGCTGTGCTTTGATTCAGGTTGCTTTGAGAAGCCAAGAATTTGATGTAAATATATGTGGTTTAAAAGTTACCAAAGTTATTATAGGGTATAATCCATTTTACCACTAATTACCTATTCAAGGACAAGGAACATGGATTCGTGCTCTGGATATGAAACTCTAGAATAAAAAAATACCTACACATTTCCAATCTTAACAATACAGAAACTTGGGTGTTTTGTTTCAAGATTTAAAGCAATGTGTGCATATAAGTGCTTATTGCCATGTATTTTCTCTTCCTTCTAAGCTCTTCCTGGCTGGTGTTCCAGGTGATAGCTCGGCTGAGGAGACAACAAATTCAACAACCAGGTGCCTGGTCTACCACAGACAATGATGATCACAAGCACCTAACCCTGTAGGTGTGAATACTGTTCCTGTGAAAAACTGGCACCAATATAAAACATGGCTAACTTAGTTTAATGATGAGCTACATCTGTACATATGTTTGAGGAAGAATTTATACCATCCAAGAATCCTAAAGGAAGATATTAAACTGAGATGAATTTTTAAAATCTGAATATGTTAATGCATCTAAAGAGCTGTTTTCTATTAAAACGAAAAGGTGTATTTCCTAACAGAAATGTAAAAAAAATATATAAAGCCTTACATAATATATATTATATAATACATACAATGTACATATTATATAATGTATATATTTTATATAGAAAAAACAGCTGACATCATTTCCAAATCTCATAAGTTGTTCAATGGATTTGGTTCTCAACACAACAGATTTAACAAATCTACTAACAATCACATCACACTTCAAAAGCACGCCAATTGTTCACAGAATCCCCCACTTGGCAAACTTAGAGGCATTTTAAAGCATCACAGAAATTTGCAGAGGCATGATACATTTGCTGACCATATCCCAGTAAAAACCTGTCAAAAGCAGTAGGATCATTGTTGTCAAATTTCTACACGTGAAAATCAACTTTTTATGTGTCATTTTGCTATGTTACATGATAAGGCGCACTCTTAGCCTGCATGGTCTTACTTGCTGTGTACACATTCACTTGTCATAGCAAGCCTCAGCCTGTCATAGCAACAAATGAGAGTGCAAAGTATTGCTGTTCACTTTTCCCCTCAAGATGGAAATGAAGGAGAAAAAAACCAATATATCTGCCTAAGTTAGAATGGATAGCCATGTATCTCTGAAACAATGAAACCATGTAGTGTTGAGCAGACTTCTGCTGTCAGACTTGGAAGGTACTGATATTCTATACCTTGGAAGGTTCTGCTTCTGTAAGAATTTGTTTTAGGAAAGAAGGCCAATAACTACTGTTTTTTTCCTAATAAGAGTAATTGACCCTTCACTAAATACTGAACTAAAGGACAGCTTTACAAAACTATTTCAAGTATTCATTATCACAGTGAAAATGGGAGACCAATGCGAGAATGAAGGATTTGAAAATTCCTTTGATGAAAAAGGCAAGGGTACTAAATCAAAACATATACAAAATGCTTCAACGCATTTCTTTATGTGGTATGAATAGAAAGATTATCCATAAAAAGTTAGAAAAATTAAGATAAATTATATATTAGTACACCTTCCCTTCCCAACCACATTTTATATAAAAATTCAGAATAGTGTACTGGTATTTCAGTCTACACAATAAAAATGCCTGAACTTGGCAGATATCTTCTATCTGTGCATGTATTTTCTCAGCAGAAGGCTTATTTTTTGCAGTCACTTTTAAAAAGTTTTATTTCCATTATGAACCTATTGAATCATCAGTAAACCCAGCTGATTGGGACCCACTGTGGCTCCATTCTCAGCTTCTCTATGGCAGTTTGTAGTTTCTCAAAGGCTTTGTCTAGATTGTCGTTTACGATGATCAAATCAAAATAGTGGTTGTACGCTCTTTGAATCCGTGCACTTTCGTCCACTGTTTTCTTCAAGTCAGAGTCCTGTCAAAGAATGTTAAAAGGAAATGTTTCTATCACAATGTGTATTTACTTGCTTAAACACCAATTCAAAGTGAACATAAGTACGTTGGACTTTTGTTTATGGTGATTCTGACATTAATGCTCAAAATCTAATCTATACAGTGTTAAAACAGACATTACCATCTGTTCATATCCTAGTCTTTCCAGTGGTGTTCATGTTTGCTTTAGGAGTATTCTGTATCTTCTGTTTCACTGATCTTAGGATAAGACTCCTAATTATTGCTGACAATAATCTTAGGGTGAAATCTAAGGTAATAAAAGAGTTATTGCAGTTTCCAGCCCAACTCTATCATGCTTTTCAAATGATTTTTTAAAAATTTGTATGTATATGTTATATCACTAGAAAAAGAATGCCAGATTTTTCCTTCTGTGGGTTTTTGTCTTGTTTCTTCATGGTCCATGAGGCCAGCTGAGGTTGTCAGTATAATGAAACCAAACTGGTAGGAGAGGAACAGAATATTATGCCATTTTTCTAGATCTTTGATTTGTACATAAAATCTGGGGCTGATCATTCCACACTTGTTTAACCTGCTCATGAGTTTCACGAGTTTCCCAGCTCTGTAACCAATGATTTCAAATTAGCCAAGTGACCATGCTTCATCATCCAGGTTAGAAACTAGGTAATGACTTTGGGCATGGCCTACTAAGAACCTGGCACTCCTTTCATCAGTGTTAATGCTCTTGAGAGCATCTGCCAGGACATACATGTATACCATTATGGTGGCGTGGAAAGAGCTCAAAAATTTTTTATCTTATGGGTTCTGTAGATGATGGAAACCATTCTGCAGTGCCTGTTAAGCTCAAAGCCAAATCTGCTGCCTATCTCTAGGAAAGAAAATATTAGAAATGTATTTTGAAGACTAACTACATGCTTCCTACCCTCATCAACACATACACACATATTTATTTAGCTAACATTGTTTATATTTTGTATAATATTTCCAGCCATTTTGGAATGATGTGAAGAATGAATAAGTAGTGGGTTCTACATGAGCAAGTATATTGCAATTACTTTGAAATTCCACAGTACTTCTACATTTTCTTCAAATATTGAGTTCCTATTAAGAGGTCTATAATGTTTCATCATCTGTAGATACAACAATGAATAAGACAGAGTGGGTTCCTATCCTCCAGAGACGGAGACAGATTAAAGGCAAAAACACAAAAAGTTCCAAGTTGTAATAAGTACTACTATAAAAGAAACCAATCAGGAACAAAGAATTTTGAAAATTCTCCTTTAGAAAGAGTGATTACAAAGACACCAAGTAAATGACATTTAAGTCGAGAACTATAGTGGGGGAAAGAGCATTCTAGGCAGAGAAAACAGCAATGCAAAATCTGGGAGGGAAATGACCCTGATATTTTTAAGATACTGAAAGACCAGGATGGATGGAGGAATGGAGGGACTGAGGACAGAGGTGAGACCTTGAGATGAGTACGAGAGCTAGGTTGTAGAGAACTCACATGCAATAGAAAGGTTACACTGGCTTGTGATGGAGAAAGAGGAGATGGAAATGAAACCAGACTGGAAATACATTCTGGTGATAAATTCATCAAGATTGGCTGATGGGTTGGATATGAAAAGTGATGAATGAATGAATGAATGAATCAATCAATCAAGATGTAAAATAAGTTGTAGAAAATGCAGAGTTGGGGAGTGGGAGTAGGGAGAGCACAATTTTTTTGGGGGAAACACAATGTTCTGTTTTGTACGTGTTAAGTTTAAAATGTTTCAGGAGACATCCAAGTGCAGATGTAAGCTAAGTAGCAATGATTTATGCAAGGTGGAGCTCTGAGTTCTGGGCTACCTATACACTAACAAGGAATCATCAGTATAATGATGGTATATAAGAAAAGTAGTTTTGTGAAAATACCAAAAGTATAGAGAGAAATGAGTTCCGAATTAGGCCTGAGGGATGCTATGCTTACATTTCAGTTAATATTTTCACTGACTCTCTAAGTCAGTTGGAAAGAATTAAAATATCTTTAGTTGTGCAAACAACCTCGATTCAACTTGAAAACAATTCTTATGTATTACAGTCATGAGCAATCTGCTTCATTTAAAAAAAAAAGGGGAGATTCTCTAAATATATTGGTAAGTGGAAAATGCAAACTACTCAGTACAATAGGCTACTTTTTAAAGTAAGAAATGAGGGAGGGAGGGTACACATACATACTTGCTTATATTTAAAAAAAATTATGAAAATGATCTATGTAGGTGGGAATGGAGATGACAGAGAAAAGCTAGATTTTTCTGTTAGGATTTACTTTAGAACTATGGAATATATAGAAATATACAACAAAACTAAATACAAATAAAAAAAAGCAATACCTAAAAATCAAAAGCAAAATGAAACTTTTTTTTTTTTTAAAGATTTTATTTATTTATTAGAGACAGAGAAAGAGAGAGGCAGAGACACAGGCAGAGGGAGAAGCAGGCTCCATGCAGGGAGCCTGACTTGGGACTCAATCCAGGGTCTCCAGGATCATGCCCTGGGCTGAAGGCAGCGCTAAACCGCTAAGCCACCAGGGCGGCCCATAAACTTGTGTTTCAAGTTGATGATTTAACCACACAGAAAGGAATTATTTCAGTGACTTTAAAATAATACCCAGTGGGATATATCTTAGGAACAATTTTTTAAAAGCCTAAAACTTAAATGTTTTTATACTGTTGATATTGATATTGTTACTTAGAAATTACATATATATATGTATATACATACACACACACACACACATATATATCGTTTACATGTATATACAATGGGTTCTTAGTTTATATATGTAAAGTAAGAAATTATGTTAATGTCATCTGGAACCAAGATTTTCAACATAAGGAAAAAAATATAGAGTCAAAGAAGTAAAATAATGTAAAGTTCAAATTGGAACTCTCAAATTGAACAAATGATGTGTGTTTTTTAAAAAACGAAAATGTATTTCCTATATCTGGCCACTGAAAAGCCCGGAAATAAGAAGCAAATAAGTTGAGCACACAACTGTAGCACCTATACTGTCTCTAAATACCATTTCCAACCGAAAGGAACCAAGTTTTTTGGATGGCTGGTTCTAGGCCTGGGCCAAGAAAAGTGCAAGAAAACCTGGAACAGCTTGTCTAACTAGGAAGTAAAGATTTATCAAAGATTATTAGGTTAAGTTAAAAAGACTCAAAAGACAAGCTGAACATTCATTCCTGCAAGCAAAACATAGGCCGATTTAAACATCAAAAAGAGTAGTAACTAAACTAAGTACAGAGGGAAAGTATTCCAAGGGACTTTAAAACAACTGACTGTATATACTCAGATAAACCTTAAGGACAAAAAACCCCCACAACAAAACAAAACACAGTTCGTGGTAATCACATCTGGCAATGTTGGGTGTACTTATTCTCAGACTGTTGTGTGTGTACATTGGGATAAAGCAAATGAGCAATTATGTGATATTCTAAGTCTAACATTCCCAGTGTTTTTGAGAACTGGGATACTCAGTACTCAGAATGGAGATATCCATAAGATAAAAGAGGTTAAATAAAAGCCTTCATTTTCTAATTTGAATAGGAAGTAGCAGTATGAATTCATGATACAGTTTCTTTCAAACATGCAACAGAAAAACATATATCCTAGTTCTGTCTACCTGAAAGACATAGCTAGAAATGATCAATCTTGTGGCAACATGCACTCCTGGTAGTAGGGTCTTAAAACACTATTTACTCTAAAAGGAACCAGAGCTTCTTGAAGAAACAGCTGATAACTGGCCTAGAATAGGATATGTACAAGAGGAGCTTGGAGCATCTGTCATACCAGAGATGAGCAAGTAAGCTGCGACTACTGGGCTCATGAAGTAACTTTGCAAGGGCCAACTTGAATACACTCCTATTGGTCAAAGATGGGACAATTTGAGCATCAATAAGAAAAACTGTAATAGAGTAACTACATCAAAAACTCACATTAGGTGCTCATAATGAAACTAAAAAACAAAGAAAACAAACCTTCTTTGACCAGCTGTTACTTCTGGAAGCTCTCAGAACAATCCATTATTCTGAAAATGGACTCATAAAAAGTTATCAGCATATACCCTGACTTTCCTATATGAACTCTACTTCAATCAACTAGTTGAGGAAAAGTTATTTCTTTTTTTTTTTTTTTTTGGAAAACATTTCTTAGAAGAACTCTAGTTTATAAATTCAGAATGAGGGCACCCCGGATGGCTCAGCGGTTTAGTGCCGCTTTCAGCCCAGGGTGTGATCCTGGAGACCTGGGATTGGGTCCTATATCTGGCTCCCTGCATGGAGCCTGCTTCTCCCTCTTCCTGTGTCTCTGCCTCTCTCTGTGTGTCTCTCATGAATAAACAAATAAAATCTTTAAAAAAATAAATAATAAAAAAAATTCAGAATGACAAACTGAATATTATCATCTTACAATTCCTAAACAAATAAGTGATCCGGGCAAAGATGAATAAAGCTTGCCAAAATCACTAGGTAAAAAGCTACTGAGGAACTTTACAGATCAGGCTCACAACATCTGAATCCACTGATTAACCTTATCACAAAAAGAGCAAGCCTTTCATATGCCTCAAAATGTAATAAAACAAGTACCAGTTATTAATTATTCTTGGGGAAAAAACTAAACCTGTATCATCTGATCAAGCCTCTATCAGTTCACAGGAAATATGGGCAACAAAGGGAAATGACACAATGGGGACAGAATTGGTAAAATCTAGACTTTGTAGCACTCTATAGGATAACTGATCCAAATTTTGTTTTGTTTGTTTTTGTTAGAGGAAGGGCTTGATCTCATGACCCAGAGATCATGATATGAGCCCAAATCAAGAGTCAAAAGCTTAATCAACTGAGCCACCCAGGTGCCCTAACCCATTTTTTTGAACAACTAAAATTGAAGGCTACAAAAGAGGGGAGGGTGGGAAGTGAGAATTTACAGATTAGAACAGAGTAAAGGGATGTCTACTTCCAGCTAAGATGTAGTAACAGAAATTAAACTAACCCTCCCATTGGATAATGAAAACAAAAAATGTATGGAAAAACAGTTTTTAAGACCTTGAGCATGAGGCAACAGAAGACTGATATCTCAGAGCCCTAAAACTAACCCAACTGTCTTGAAAGACTTTTCTAGGCTGCAGTATACAAGGTGGAGCCCAGAAAGAGCCTACCCAATATTCCAATTTGGGACAGATCTAAGACCCCAGAGACCAGGGTGGCAAGAGTTCACAGGACAGAATACCTGAACAAAATAGCAGCATGGAGAGAAAACTTCAGAGACTGGCAAACCTTCCCCTCTTCCAGCATACAGCCGTATACCAATCAGGGCAGTGTAAACCTATCTGAGGCCACCAAAGAATCACCAGAAAAAAATGAAAAGTATTCAACCTGAGCCAGGGACAGGACCTCTTCAATATGCACAGGCCATTTGGAAGAGTCCTCAAATGGTCTTGCCTCAGGATGGAGAACTGCGCCTAGATTATGAACTGTTCTGGTCTTACATAACATTTTAAAAGCAACACCTGAAAGGAACAAACCATCTCTCAACAAGTATATCCTCGAACAAAAGCTCACAATGTCTTGCACCTAATAAAAAATTGCTAGGAAAAGCAGCAGGAAAATATGGCCAATGTGAGAAGAAAAGTCATTCAAGTCAAAACTGATCCAGAACTGACACAAATGTCAGAATTAGTACGTGATGACATGAAAATATTATTATAACTGTATTTCAGATATTCAAAAAGTTAAGTAGAGACTTGGAGAAACCTGAAAAAGAACAAACAGGATTAACACTGTGTAATTTCAGAATTAGTGTGAAGAAGTAGAAATAGTGTGGGAAGAAGTAGATGCAGTGGGAAGGAGGAATCCTGAAGGAGCACAAGGACACCCTTGGAGGTGATGGACATGTATATTATCCTGTGATAGCTTTTATGGGTGTATCCATATGCCCAGACTTACCAAGTTGTGCACTTGTGGTATGTACAGTTTATTATATGTCAATTATCCTCAACTAAGCTGGGGGGAAAAAAGAAATTTAGAAGATATCAAGTAAATGCAACGTGTTCATCTTGTTTGGATCCAATCTGAACAAATTAACTGTAAAAAAATTATAAATCTTGGAGAAATTCAAATATAGATAGTATATTGATATTAAGAAGTTGCCCTTATTTTCTTGTATTAAGTGTTATGGTTATATTTTAAAAGTCTTTATCTTTTAGAGATAGATAAAGTATTTGCAGTTGACATATCAAAGATTTGCTTTAAAATAATTCAAGATAGGGCGGAAGTGAAGAGAGGTCTAATTGAAACAGAAATGGCCACACATTACTGAAGCTAGGTGATGGGAATATGGAAGTTCTCATTTTTTTCCCCTTTGTATGTATTTTAAATTTCCCAAAAGATGAAAAGAGAGAGGAGAACAAGAGAAAACAGGTAACAGGAACTAAAAGTCAGAACTAACAACCAGTAGTAAACCTTATGATGAATATGCTTGTTAATGGTCTTGGAGCCCAGTTTCCTCACTGATAAAATGAAAGTTGGATTTATATGCATATTTTAATATTGCTCCATTTCATTTACATAGGAGGAATAAACTTGTGTTTTAAAATAAAGTGAATGATTACTTTTAAGTAAAAGCCATAATATTCCAAATCCTAGCTACATCTAATGAATTTTTATTCTGCAATACATCATATAGTATATATAGTATATTTCATTAATATGAGTAGAATTAAACATGCCCAGAAAGAAAAAAGAAAAAAATCTTAGGAGTAAAATAATATTGTCAGCCTAAAAAGAACTGCTCACCGTCAAAAGCTTAGTCGTGATACCAGCATCCACCACTGCCTTGTGCATGGCACGTAATGTCTCTAGTTCTGGAGCAGCAATAAATACAACATAGGGCATGAATTCGGATGTCCTCAGCACTTTCAGGGCCTGTGTAGAAGAATAATTACAAACTAACTTATATGGGATTAAAATTTGAATTATGTTACCCTTTAATTTATACTAAATGCTTACTAATCAAAGTCTATCTGCCCTCTAAGGATTAAGGATGTAATTTAATACTTGCCCCCTTCTATCCTTTTGGTTTCATATATTTCTTTCCTAAAATAGTGATCCATTAACTGTGTTCTGACCTCATACTACCTTTTAATTCTCAGAAAAAGGAAAGTATTGAACTTAATGATCCAAAAATCATCAAGAATAATGTAAATGCTTTCTCTGTTACTTGTAGAATTCTGTTAATATTGAAAAAGCAGAAATAATCTGTGTCTACTGACAGTGGTTAAATAAATTAATATACATTTGTACTACAAAACACTATGGAGCAATTACAAAGAACTGAAGCTAAAGAATCTATACAGAATTTTCCTATTTATGTAACAGAGGAAAATAGAAAACCCATAAAAAACTAATAAAATGGGATCCCTGGGTGGCGCAGCGGTTTGGCGCCTGCCTTTGGCCCAGGGCGCGATCCTGGAGACCCGGGATCGAATCCCACATCGGGCTCCCGGTGCATGGAGCCTGCTTCTCCCTCTGCCTGTGTCTCTGCCTCTCTCTCTCTCTCTGTGTGACTATCATAAATAAAATAAATAAAAAAAAAAATCCTCTTTAAAAAAAAAAAAAAAAAAACTAATAAAATGATATATCTATATATCTGTATTTAAGGCATACTAAAATGACAAAGATATATACCAAACTATTAATAATTATCTCTGAGTACGGAAGTTGGGTTGAATATAGTGGGGTGGGAAGGGGTCGGAGAGAGAGATAGGGAATGAGAATGAAGAGAATGGTGTGTGTGTGTGTGTGTTGGTTGGGAAGGTGTGGGACTTTAATTCTTTATTCTTTGTTGTAGCTTTGTTGAAATTTTAAAATTAATATTTCCTAATGTGTATTTACACATTACTTGAGCAAGTAAATATTAAACTTCTATCAAGTTCTATTGTTATCTAAACCTCTGTGGCCTAATTATTGATCAGAGATTTATCTAACTAGATATGGATGCGTATTAAGGTTCTCTATTACCAACAGGTGATAGAGAGAAAGAGGCACCCTCAAAATTTGAAAATAAAACCAAACAAAAACTTCACAGGAATTAAAAATTTAAAACAACTTTGGAATCCATGCAGCTTACTTGTGGGTTGACATCCAAAATGCAAGTTCGTCCAGTTTGGACAACTTCAAGAATAGAATCAATTTTGGTTCCATAGAGATTTCCTTCATATTCCCCATGTTCCAAATATTTTCCAGCTTTAATATCTGCTTCCATCTCAGAACGTGACACAAATTTATATGCCTGGCCATCTTTTTCATCTTCCCTTGGTTTCCGTGAAGTAACTAAATGTTGAGAATTTATACAAAGAGAATGCAGGATATTAAAATTGATACCAAAATGCACAAGGTACCTAAGATTTCAGACACAATGCCATTTAGTTCAGAGGTTGGCAAATTATGACCTAAGGCCAAATCTGGTCTGCTTCTTATTTTTGTAAATAAAATATTATTAAACCATAGCTATGGCTCATTTGTTTTATTACCTATGGTTTCATTCATTTTACAATGGTAAAGTGGTGGTGACAGACCAGATGGCACACAAAATCTAAAATATTTGCTATGTAGCTCTTGAATTAAAAAGTTTGCTGACTCCTAACCTACAGGAATGTTTTAAGAGGTAGTCCCCAATACACACAATTTATATTTTTAAAAAAGTGCTTTATAAAGTCAGCTTGAATCTGAAAATATATTAACCTAGAAGCAGAGCCTTAAATTTAAATTCTTAAGGAGGAGTCCTACTAAGCATGAGGTATATTTTAAATGAAGATCTTTTCCAGTTGCCACCAGCATTCCCCTTCTCCTTAAGGAATATCAATTATATTCTTTCTTTACAATTGAGCACTCAACAAGTGAGCAAAATTCTATTTTTAGTCAGTACTATCAATCTTCTGAAATGTAGTTTTATCCACAAATTATCTATCCTTTTCCTCACCCTAACACTAAACCTTCTTTTAGCTTACTGCTTACTGATATTCTGAAATGTTAATTGTTCTGTACCCTGGTGGTGGATCTAGTCACACTTGATGTCATTATGTTCTACCAACTTCCTCTACTCTAACCTACAGTATTTTTTTTCTGAGAGAATAACAGTTAATAGACCAAGTCAAAATTTAGAGGATTGTTTTTGTCTGATAGGTTAGAGTTCTGAATACTTACAGAGATATACAACTCCTTTGCAACTTGGGCTAGCTAGCACAGGAAAGGATATTCTCTTTTAAACTGCTGCAAAGATGCAGTTAGGTACCCTCTACCAATTTGTTAAACTAGTTTGGAAGAAGAAAAGTAATTTGTGTGTGTGTATGTGATTTTCCAGTTTAGACTTTAATTTAATCTAGGCTAGGTCATATATAAAATCAAGTTCTTATACATGAAGAATATCTGATGAAATCATTAAGCACATGCAATTAAAAAGTAATCCAGATCAAAAATTGACAATATTTTGACTATGTGTAATAAGCATAGCACATTAAGAAAGCCTTTATAAGAACAGAAGGAACTTCAAATTCAAGCTCAATAATAAGGGTCTAATTTAAAAATGAGATCATTAGGTATAAGAAGACTCCTTTTCTTCCTCTGTGGTTTCCTGGCTCAGCCTTGAGGGTGATCATCCCAGACAATGTGGAGAGCAGTTTATAAAGTAACTTAAAGATCCTCAAGATGCTATGATGCCTTTTCATATTAAAAAAATGTGTGATGTCTAAGGTTTCTGGAATTATTCACCAGAAGTGATATGGTAAAACATCTAAGGCAATTTTAAATTTCCCAAATAAATACATAGTAGGACCTGGCTCAATATCTGTGAATATAATTTTAGAAGAATACTGTTTTTTGGTGAAACTCTACAATGAAATCATATATGGGAATGTGCTGCTTGAAATAAATATGTATAGGTACACACACTGCCCCATCACAACCTCCATGCTAAGGGAAACTTAATTATTATCAAAATGTTTTTAGTTTTCAAGTAAATTAAAAAAATATCTATCTATTTAGAGAGGTAGAAAGAGTGAGCACACATATAAGCAGGGAAGAAAGAGACGGAGAGAGTATCTCAAGGAGACTCTGCACTGAGCACAGAGCCCAACACAGGGCTTGCCCCCACAACCAGGAGACTGTGACCTGAGTGAAATTAAGAGCCAGATGTTTGGGACGCCTGGGTGGCTCAGTGGTTGAGCATCTGCCTTCAGCTCAGGGTGTGATCCCAGGCCTGGGGATCAAGTCCTCCATCGGGCTCCCTGTGAGGAGCCTGCTTCTCCCTCTGCCTATGCCTCTTCCATTCTCTCTGGGTCTCTCATGAATAAAAAAATAGAATCTTAAAAAAAAAAAAAAAGAGCTAGATGCTTAACTGAGCCACCAGATGCCCCTAGTTTATAAAGATTTTATTTATTTATTCATGAGAGACACAGAGAGAGAGAGAGAGGCAGAGACAGGCAGAGGGAGAAGCAGGCTCCATGCAGGGAGCCTGATGTGGGACTTGATCCCGGGATTCCAGGATCATACCCTGGGCCGAAGGCAGGCTCCAAACCGCTGAGCCACCTGGGGATGCCTGCCCCTAGTTTATAAGTGAATTTCAACTACAATCTCATTACCTAGTGAAAAGTCAAACAGAACAAAACAAAAATCCAAACCTAACAACTATATTGCCACATATTTAAGTTCCTTTCTACTCTTAGGATATTAGGATAATATTTTTTTTTAATTTAAATTTATTTTTTATTGGTGTTCAATGTGCCAACATATAGAATAACACCCAGTGCTCATCCTGTCAAATGTCCACCTCAGTGCCCATCACCCAGTCACCCCCACCCCCCGCCCACCTCCCCTAGTTCGTTTCCCAGAGTTAGGAGTCTTTCATGTTCTGCCTGCCTTTCTGATATTTCCCACTCATTTTTTCTCCTTTCCCCTTTATTCCCTTTCACTATTTTTTATATTCCCCAAATGGATGAGACCATATAATGTTTGTCCTTCTCCGACTGACTTATTTACATAAAAAATATATAATGAGACAATGTCTTGTGAAGAAAAAGCTCACGATATAATGTTCATTCATTTATTCATTAAGTATTTCTTGGGCATATATGATGTGCCAAATCCTAGTTTACATTCTGGGTCTAAGCAGAACAAAAGACAGAGCAGCTCTCTGTTCTCATGGTACATAGTCTTGAATGTGGAGATAGGGGAGTAGTCAAATAAAAAACAAGAATTTAAGTGCTAAAACATAACTACTAGGTAGTGGGGGGGGGGCTACTTTAGATGGAATGGCCAGCAGAGGCCTACAAAAAGGTGAGATCTGAGTACAAAACAAAATTTAAGCATCTAAAGATTTGGGAGGTAGGGTTCCATGCTGAGGGACCATTAAGAACAAAAAGGTGTGAATGATAAGTTTGAAGAATCTGAAGAAAAGAAAGACCAGTGTGTTAAGTAGGAGAAAAAGTATGCAAATTTTTATATAAATAATATAAATTATATAATAGTATAAGGATTCTGTAATTAGAATATAATTCTGTAATTAGAAGCTATTTTAATTGTGTTCACTATATTTATAAAGAGAATGTTGAATAAGATTTTTTTTTTCCAGTCTCACAGTATCCCTCTGAAGTCCCAAATAGAAGCTAAAATGCCAAGGATTTAGAGCCTCCTCATTCAGAGTTTACTACAAAATGGCCAACTTTATCCCAGGATCATCTGTCTACTACCTCTATCTTATTTATACTCAGAAAGGAGTCACTGAGGCTAACAATTGTAGGTTCAGGGTAGAATGCTTTATTTTCTTCTTTACTCCATGGTAAAATGATTCTCCCTGGATAATCCCAGAAGCCCATGATGACATATTGTAGCAGTGGGGTGATTAATACTTCCACTGTTTGGCAAAGCTAAGAATGAGTTTCCTGTGGGCTGTGTGTGTGTGTGTGTGTGTATTCAAAAGATAGCTTGGCTTGAACTGCTCTGAAGCTATCCTATATAGAAAGACAGAACGAAGGGTAGAGAACCAAGCAAAGGAGAATATGAAGTATGGGTTTGGAGCTTGGCATTGGTCTCAAGGGGACAGCTGGATCATAATACCTTGGCCAGGGAATGGCAAAGTATGGAGATCTCTAAGAAAGACCTACCTATAAATAGGCCTCAATGAAGAGACAGTATTTGGACATTTGTGACATACAGAATTCCAGTCTCCAAAAGGCAAGATTTTACATGACAGCCCTTTATCCCCACTTCTTCCTGCCCTGCCTTTGAAAAAGAGAAGTAGCAGAGCAGGATGTGAAGGGAGAATAATAAAACAAACTACACTTTTCTCCTTACAATATAGGACCTAAGCCAAGGATCAGGAATGATCTGTGAGAAAGGGAGAGACAGTGAACTGGATGCAACACTGAAGTTTTGAATTGGAGTAGCCTTTTTTTAAGCACTCAAAATACAAGTCTTATTTAGCAAAATAACACAGTTCTCTTAACTGAAAGAGATGAGAAAGTTACAGAATCTTCCAGGGGGCTGAAGGAAAAGAAGATGTGATGGATGAAATCAGTGCATGAAATCAGTGCATGAAATGCATGGATGAAATCAGTGACTGGGTGAAAATAAAGCTCTTCTCTTTGCTGTTTGTACTCCCAAAGAGCTCAGTCATCCAACAAACCACTTAGTTACCTACTTGCCAGAAACAAATTAGTCAACCCTAACGGCAAGGATTCTAGGAAATGAATGTGTATTCCAAAATATGAGAAAGGATTTTATTGGGCTGGTAGTTGTTTACCCAAATTCAGGAAAAGATTTTAAATTAATAAATTATTGATGGATTCTAAAACAATTTGGTAAAAGTTTGTTGAGGACAATACTTACAGTTTCAAAGTATCTTTGAACAGATTACTTATTAATGACAAATGAAAGTTACCTTTTATAGTAAAGAAATCTATCAGACATGACCTAAATCAATAATCAAAGTTAACATCATCAGTAATGGGGCAAACTGACAAGATGTACCTACTATGTAACATTCAGAGAAGGATAAAACATGATTTTATATTTTTCTAATAATGCCTGATTTTAACCTAATCACGGGGAAACAATCAAGTAAACGCATGGTGAGGGACATTTACATTAAGTGGATAAAAGACTCTAATTAAAAGGCAGAGAGACTGGTAGAATGGATTTAAACAAACAAACAAGCAACCATGATCCAACTATATGCTGTCCCTAAACTACATACTTTAGATTCAAAGACATCAGTAGGTTGAAAGTAAAAGGACTGAAAAATACCCCATACAAACAGTAACACAAATAGACCTGGA